TCCAAACATCCGTCCTGTTCCGGACTCCCTTGTTTCTATTCCACTGCTTTTGTGGGCCTGCAAGCATACCACCCGTATGGCGCATATACTGTCCAATAATTATTTTGCACACAACTTTATCTTTGGATCACCTCTTCTGTTAGAAGTTTGCAATTCAGTTCATCCGCTGCATGCAACTCCTTGAGGATATTTTACAACTCCTCGAGGATGTTTACATCTCCTTGGGACTTCACCGTGATGCAAAAAATTGCGGAGTTTCAACGATTTGATGAGAATTTAAGACCGCGTGCTAACTTCCTGCGAAGCTAATCCTTACCTTTTAATTTAGATCTGATATGAATTTCGCTGTCATCGTGCTTCTCAGGCTGATGCCTCAATGATGCCCAGCCCCGAAATATTAGTGTTGTGGGTCCGATGTTTCAAATTGTTACCAAAAATTTAATATATCTGCCACTAGTACTCGTCAGCACGCAACAGCGCCGGTCCCCGCCCAGTAATTGAGCCCAACACAACCTTCAATTTCGCGCTTTCATTCATCTCCTTGTACCCGATTCCCCTGAAGACGTTGTCCATTCCACCTGCAGCGGCGGCAGCCATTAGGTGCAACGGATTGGAGGGATCGAACGAGTCTACATCGGTTACCGGATCCTCTCGGTGCCAATATATCGCTGTGAGCACGAGAGTAATAGTGGAGAAGGCCACAAATGCGGATGGGAGTAGGATCCCGCCGGTTGTAGACGAGTTGAATGCCCAACCGATGGTTTCGATACCGAGAGCATCGGTTGGGCATTCAACTCGTCTACAACCGGCGGGATCCTACTCCCATCCGCATTTGGAAAGCGAGGTTGATATGGTTTCCATAAGAGACCATCATCAACGTCAGAAGATCCCGCCTCCGCTGCCGGGTTCCGTATGGCTTACAGACGCTCTTGTTATCCTTCTACTGTAATGAATCAAACGATGAGGGGCTACGAGCATTTCCATCTCGTCGATTTTTCCCTACGGGATTCGATAATTCCGATTTGCTCTTCCGCTATAGCACAGCATAACCCATTAGCCGTCTTCCAATTCATGGCGTGGACCTATTTTAAGATTCACGCGACGCGTCGCCGATTTTCACGGGATCATCCAACATAAATTATCGCGATCCGTAGTAGTGAACTTTGCCTGAGCACATGTTGCATGCTGAGCAAGCGTGTCTCTCTAGAGCATTTTACTTCGTGTTAAATCCGTCCAGGTTATGTTCAGGTTTCAAATACATTGGAGAAGAGCAGATATAAATAAAAGTTGTGGGAAGGAACATGAAAAGTTGGGATGCCGAAGCAAAAAAAGCGATGAAACAGGGTTACCAAGACAATGTAGCACGCGGCGCACCGCCGATTTCCTCAGGAAACGTCGACTATTGGATATCGAATTGGATGAAGTGTTTCAGAATTTACATGCATAAGATGTCCGGTAAATCATTTGCCTGGCTGCTTAACTGTTATCTGCGAACAGTGATTGAATTTTTGACAGTGCAGGAGCCGATATACCGCACCGTGCGAATGAGGACCCTGAATTGAACGCAAAGATGCATCAACATCAGCGCAGTATGTGTTGAAGATGACTCGTATTCGTCCATACATGCGTCCCCGCACTGAGAAAATAGGGCAACACAACCGTGACCTTGATGGTCAGGTCTTCTAATCACCGTTTAAACAACTGCGATAACAGGGCGCTCTGAATATATTGATCCATCAGGTATTCTCAAAACTAAAAAGCGAGGCAAGGCTGTATGTAGAAGTTCTGTGAAATTTAGGGGCTAGTAAACAAACCTAAACAGCCAAAGATTTTTCTTTCGTCCTCTGCATGATTATGAAAGCGCTGTAAGCTTAGAAAAGCATGCGGGTTCTCACTAGGCGCTTGTCACGAATCATTGGACAACTATCCAGTTCTCGGTTTTGCTTTTCCTTTTCGTATCGGAAACCTAGGTTCGCAGAATTTACGGGAGGCCGAGATTGAATTTTCTTGCTCTGACACTCCGCTTACGATGATGTCCGAAGGGATGTCGGCAAACAGTCACCGTGCAAAAATAAACCCTCGTCCTGGCTTTCTACTGACTGCATAATAGACCACATATCGTGTGCCCTGACGCATCAACCTGGCACCGACGGTCCGACCACGCCCGGGAACCTCGATCGACCGGGATATGAGGCGTAGACACTTGACTAGACAAATGCTGCGGTCGAGCGCAAGTCAATAAGACTCTCGGCAGCGACCGCAGCACCATGCTACTCCTTGTTTTCCTCACGCCGACAACAAAATCACACTCATTTGAATGTGTATTTAAGTCCAATATTAGGTCCAGAATTTGGGTAGAATAAGAGATATAATGTGAGCCTGAGGGGAAGTATATCTGGAGTCAATATAGAGTGCCAACTCCAACACCAAACTAATCACACTTAGGGGGGGAACGTTCAATTATTTGGAGCCATTGCAGTGTTCAGGATTGAATTGAATCATCTTCAATTCGAACCGATCCAGTCATTCGATGCTTCAGGAGCCAATCTTCTGGTTCAAACCAAACTGTCCTATGAAATCGATCACTATACCACGGTTGAGCCGAAGGAACACTGTTACGTGGTAACCCCTTCCAACAGGAGTTCGAACGATTTCCTACCGTTTGAAAAAAAAATACAATCTCGTCGGTTCCAAAAGATACCGCCGTTCAAATGGAAAATGCCGAGTCTCATGGGTTGGGCCGTTCGAACCAATTCACACGGTCCAAACGGTAAATGTAGAGACTCATCTAAACTGAAATGAACAAATCCTATGGAAATTTCATGTTCTCATGGCGCGCACCATTCGACTAGAAAATTTATAGAGACAGAATCATATGTCTTTTTGTTCAGGTCTTGAAAGGCTCGTGAACAAAACGAAAACGCAGACGCACCATTAAGCTCCAGTGCCCAAGCTCTCATAAATTAAATTCATGTTCAGGTTCTGTTCTCCTGCAAACTCTGTATTGAAGTTTGTCTGCCACATTTAAGATTCCTTCAATGGTTTGGGCAGTTATGATCGTCTCAATTCAAGGCATAAGGTCTTCCTCATGAATCCCATCTACTTCGCCCTCAAGTCTCGGCTAAGTTGCACCCAAAGAGCCTCAGCTTCAACGTATTTCTGTCGAGTTGGCTCACTGCGTTCCGAGGCCCCATCGACAGAGTGTGCCTGACATCGGCTGACTCATGCCGACGGGGATCAGCACCGCTTGAGACCTGACGTCGGCAAAATTGGCCTCGGTGCCGATCCGTCGGCAAACGTTCTCAAGCGGTGCCGATCCCCGTCGGCATGAGTCAGCCGAGGTCGGGCACACTCTGCCGACGGGGCCTCGGAACGCAGTGACTACTACTAGAGGTGCTCAATTGTTGTCCCGTAGGTTTATTTGTTCAAAACAAATAGAATCGAGTCCATTGGCCGTAGATTCTATTTGTTTTAAACAAATAAATGTACGGGATGAACCCACGGGCTAAGAGTTGAGCGCACCTACTGCTGCTGGTCTGTTTACCTTTCTTATGTTCCCGTGGTTTTAGCCCCAGATTCGGACCTGGTCGGACGTATTCTGCCTCCTTCTGTAATTCTTGACTGGTGTTTATTTTTCTGGCGGGTCAATTCTCAATGATCAGTCGAAGCTATATGGAGTGCTGCTTTCGAATCCATAGATAGTATATATGGTGTCGTTGTAACCCCGCACTTGAATAATGTGCGACGAACTTGAGCGCTGATGTCTTGTCCTGCATTCCTATTCAATCCATTATGCGGATTTAGATTCAACCGGGTGCATATTTCGTGCTCAGCCTTATTTCCATGTCTCTCCCACACGGTAATACGTAGAGCGGTGCTGAAACCTTCCTTGACTGGGATGTAATATTGATTAGGTGGAGTGCTTTGCGCAAATTTCCACATTCAAAATCGTCGCGCAGTTTGAATATTACTATTTGCTGGTTCAAGGGAACTAATTTACACCAGAGCCGTAACGGATCCTTCCGGCGGAGTGTGAAAGCTGTCCCTCCTTTTGCGCCGAATTCCATCCAGAGCTGCTTGCAGTAGCAGAAGCGAACCAGTTTGTTCTCTTCGACGTCAGAAGATAAGTTTCATGTCCATGATCCCGACTTCTAATACCATGGTGGGTTCCGCGGAAGAACTCGGGTAGGTATTTAATTTGACTTATCCACTCTTTCTGTGCGTAATACTGTGCGCTTGAGACCGAAAATTGGGCCCACATCCTCACGAATTCAATGAGGGAAGAATGCACAGGTGGCGCATCGAACACGCAGCTGAACATACAAACTACGCCAATCTATCCCTACTGACACCCATTTTTCCTTCCGCCGACGGGCCTCCTGGTAGTACGGAGTAGTACCCAGACGTTTTCTCTACGCCAAGTATCTTGACTGGACGCACTATTGCAAGCCAAACAACACGGGATTGTTCAACAAGACGGCCCAGGTCAGCATGACTAAGGGTAAGTCTACAAAAAACTCGATGACATATAAAAGTTGGCCATATGCGGCCTGCTGTTCGACTACAGTTCGAGGAGGACGGGTTTATGGTGGTGGTTGCGGTTCATATCGATCGCGTGTGAATACTAGTATTTGAACCGTGAACCGGAATAACACAGGAAAATGTGTGCCCGCACCTTCATACATGATGCGTCGCGCGTCATGTTCCGCTCCGAATACGTGACACGTTCTGCTGCGCGGATTTTATCGCCGCCGTTGGTGAATGATATCTTGCCCCAGTGTGAAACTTCGTCAGGAATACATCCACTCGAAGGTGCGGAGCAAGCAATTCTTGACAGCCTTCAGAACCGGCGGTGCAAGAGGCCCATGAGCATGCGGATGAGAACACAAATGTCAGGATCAGTGTGGTTATTTAATATACGCTTAGTGCGCAACTTCATGGGCTCCATGCCCATGCTGGCAGTTGAGTGGACGTATCCAGGGATTGAAAGAGGGACGAAAGCATGGGTGGTGCACGGTGCGGTGCACACAGCTCAGACAACTAATATTGTGCTCTTGAGCTGCAAGGACTGATTCCGGGGTTCGACTCCCCGCCCATGCATCGCAGGTATTTCATCTTCCTTTTTTTAGTAAGTGTCACGGGTGGTCTGGGTGCAGCCCTCGAAAGGCGGTCGAAAGCCTCGTGTGACTATTTGCCTCACACCTCTCGCTTGGGGATCAATCCCGTCAAGATTGAGAGACAGGTAATCGAGGTTTGTCCTTGTATTCAATGAGTGAACAACGCATGGGTGGTGTACGCAGCACACGGCTCAGACATTAACATTGTATCCTTGAGTCGCAAGAGCTGATTCTGGGGTTCGAATCCCCGCCCCTGCCTAATTGTGGCAACTTTCCTTTTTCTCTTGATAAGTTTACAGTGGATTGTCTCCGCGAGATGCGTTCATGCCAATTTTAAAAAAAGTTTAGGTCAATTGAATAAATAATAATAATACAGTATTAATAAAAATCACTTCAACCAAAACTCTGACAACCTTGAATACTATTAGCCGGCATAAAAAAGGAACACAGAAATCCTGCGTGCATTGAGGGAATTAATAAGGGAAGAAAGCGTGGGTGGTGCACGGTGCAACTCAGAAATAGCTGATACCGTGAGCATTGCAAAGCTGCTTCCGGGGTTCGACTCCCCATCCATGTATGCCAAGTGTGCTTCTTTTCTTTTTCTTTTCACATAATCACACAGTTGCGAGCTTTGTTCTCTACACACACCAATGGCGGTGGTGCGTGGCTCAAGTTCATGCACCATTTTTCAAAAAAAGAAAGAAAGAAAAAAAAACACAAAAGTGGCCCATCGGGAGCCTCGAGGAATCCCGCATGTATTGCGGGATTCAATGAGAGAAGAAAAGCAAGGGTGGTGTACGGTGCACACAGCTCAGATATGGCCCATATACGATGTTGTCGAGCTGCCTTCGGGGTTCGACTCCCCGCCCATGCATGTGCATAAGCCACTGTGACCGGATTTTTTTTCGACCGCCGACGCATCCTGTTTCCGATAAGTAGCTGGCACGGATAATAGAGGTTATTGGCTGCTCCACGCCTTTTAACCAATCAGATGATTTGAAAATCTCAATCCAAGCTAAGTTACATAGCTACTCTGGGCCACACTATATTTAAATCGGGTCGTGTGGTTATTTGACTTCCTAGCTCCACGCGCAATGCTGTTGGGCTGTGACCGCCAATTGAGTTGATGTGTCCTGGGAATAAATCAGTGAGGGTCGTGTACGGTATACCTGGCCGATTCAGACCGACAATTCATTCGGCACTGTTTACCAAACCGGCCTTCATACATTTTCCCGCTTCGACACCCGGCCCGGAGGGGTCAAAAAATGGGATGACGAGGCAATGACGAGGCAACCTGGCAGACGTGTGCATAGTAGAGACGACGCCCCGCATTCTGGGTTCAACGATGTTGCCTCGTTGAACAACGCTGCTAACCTTGCCCCCGCCAAAACTCAGGAGCACGGATGACCGGTTGATCCGGTCCGAGGTCCGAGTCCCACAAACAGCTTGAAGCGACGTTAAACTCGGCCCCGATACACATCGCACAAGGCGTACATTGCCCGCGAAACGAGACGGCCGCTCTCGCCTCCCGACAACACGAAGGCCAGCGCCAAGTACATGATGACGCTGTCATGATCGGCCACATATTCCATCAGAAATTGATCCGATGTCCGTTTCCGTCGCTGTCTCCGCGTTTCCTTGTGTTTCTCTCTTTCTCTTTCCTCCTGCCATCACCACCCTCCAACGGACTCCCAGGCTCGGACGACGACCGCGGCGAAGCTAACCAGCCAAGCGCAGAACAAAAAATAGCGCTTTGACCAGGACCCCTCGGCCCGGATCTAGCTGCTCACGCGCCACGACCGCGCTCCACAATTCACTTGGCGACCCACTCCTCGTCCTCAGCAATGGAACACGACCATTTCGCCCCGCACACGCCGTACCACGACGGCTCCCCGCGCGCCTCCTTCTCCCATCCCAACGCGCCCTACGCCCAGTCCACCAACAACTCGTACCCGCCCTCCAATGCCAGCGCCGTGCGCCTCAACGAGGAGTATGATCCCTACGCCAACGCACCCGCTAGCCCGAACTACGGCGCGGGCGCTCGCGGTGGGGGGTACACCCCTGCGAACACGTACGGAAGCACCTACCGCGGCGCAGGGAAGAGTCGCAAGAAAGCGCTGGGGTGGGGCGCGCTGGCGGCTCTGGTCATCATCGCCGCCGCCGTCGTCGTGCCCGTGTACTTCCTCGTCATCAAGAAGCACAACGACAAGGCTGCGACGAAGGACACCAAGGGCGCGGCGCAGAACGACAATGGGAACGATGACACCGCGAAGCCGGTGAACGCGCTGCTGACGGGCGCGGACGGGAGCATGGTCACGAAGGCGGACGGGACGTCGTTTGTGTACAACAATTCGTTTGGGGGATATTGTGCGTGTTTCTCTCTTTTTTCATTTTTTTCTTGGCGTCGTCCCGACCCTGTCCCAATTCGTGATAACCATCTACACCTCGCTTTCAACGCCTCCGTTGTCACCGCGCCTCCCCTGCTGACGCCGCCTGTTGATACCAATCTATATACTGACGCACGCTTAGGGGCCTCCTCCTCTGCGGACCCCTTCCTCTCCGCATCGCGCGCAAACTCCTGGACGCCCCCGCTCAATGAGTCGTGGGACTGGACAAAACACAAGGTCTACGGCGTCAATCTCGGCGGATGGTTCGTGTTAGAGCCTTGTGAGTGCCTCTTTTTCATTTTGCTTCATTTTCTGCTCTGGTCATTTTCATTTCATCGTTTCTGCATTCTCCATTTCATCTCGTTCTGTTTTTCATTCCATTCCACTTCCTTCATTCCATTCCGTTCCGTTTTGCCTTCGCGCCGGTTCTGCACGCCACTCATTGGCGTCGCGGCCGCCATTCATTCCCTAGCGCGCGGCCGCCAGCCCACCATCGTCTCGCAGCTGCCAAGCGTTTCGGCTGCTGCGCGCGCTATATGTGGCATGACGCGTGGCTGACGTAGTGGGGGCGCAACGCTAACCGAGCCCAACCTGCCCTTATTCGGGAACGGCCACCAAACTGACGCGCGACATGTTCGGGGGACGGGCGCATTTAGCGCTTTCCAACTTTACCTTCCACCCTTTCTTCCACCTTTCATCCTTTCGTTCAAATTAACCTTTTTCCGTTTACATATCGCACTCCTCAAATAGCACAGCTACTAACTTCCTTTTGCAGTCATCTCCCCCGCGCTCTTCCAAGCCTACCCCGATGTGCTCGACGAGTGGGGCCTCGCCGAGGCCATGCGCGCGGACGGAAAGCTCGAGGAGGTGATGGATAAGCATTATAATGAGTTTATCGTGCGTTTTTTTTTCCTTCTTTTCTTTTTTCCTTCACCTTTCCCCCTCGCTTCTATTATTGTTTCCTTCACGTTTTGGGATTTTCTTCTTCATTTTTTTCTGTGTCTTCCATCTTCGGGCCGTTTTATTTTTCTTCGCGCCAATGCGCGGTGTCAGGGTTTTTCGGGCTTCTTTTCTCCATCGTGTTTCGCCTTCGCTGGCATCGTGTCTTGCCTTCGCTCGCACTAGGGGATTTTATTTCCCCTCCTGCCCATCCCGTCGCGGGCCTGAGTTCCCCATCTGGTATCGCGTTCCGCACCCGTCGGGCTTCCCGGAGTAGCCTCGCGTAGGGAGGCTATTCCCGTTGTCGCGGGCGCCATTGCCTGTCTGGCATCGCGTTGCGAGGGGCTATGCGGGAAGTTACTATTCGCCGCCTGGTCTTCCCGACAGCCCCCGGCCGACCTCGTTTCGTTTCGTACTCGTATCGCACTGGTCGGGGCGTTTCGCCGGCTGTGTCCTGCTCCGCGGCCGTGATCTCCGCACCGCGTTATTCTCGCATGTTTTATTTCGTTTCGCACTCGTTTCGCACACTGGCTGGGGGTGATGTTGATGTCGCACGGCGCCTCCCGAACCCCGCTCTGCGTGGCCATGAGTGTGCCCTGTAGGCCGTGATATGCTGCTTTTATCGATTTCGTTCTCGGGACGGCGCGTCTGGTGGCGAACGCAAGTCATACGCCCATTTATTTTTTTATTCTTTTCTCGGGGACTGCGCGTGTGGCAGGAGGCGAATCCGGATGGATATCGGTCTCGCGACTGCCCGCGAACGCGCGTTTTCTCGAACTCGTGTTCTCGCGGCGTCTACCCTTATTTTCGCGACCTGCACGCGCACGTCAGACGCTGTTATTCTCGCGGACGTTCCACTTGCTCGGGCTGGGCCACCGGAAGGTGTTTGGCTCGTGTTTGTTTTTTATTCTACTTCATTCTCGCTTCCCCCCAATCTTTCTTTTCGCGTTGCGTCCTTTCCCTCCCTTCTGCGCGCCCGGTCATTTCTCTTACCCGATCTACCCCTCTCTTCTCCCCTTCGCATTACTCACCCCTTTCTTTTATCCCCACAGACGGAAGAAGACATCGCCCAAATTGCGGGCGCAGGGCTCAACTGGGTGCGCGTCCCGATCCCGTTCTGGGCGATCAGCACGTGGACGGACGTCGGCGTGGACGAGACGGGCAAGGCGGTGAGCGAGCCGTATTGGGCAGGGGGATGCTGGAAGTGAGTGGTCTTCTTGGTTCTTCGTTTGTGGGGAGGGTTTTTTTTTGGAGGGGGGGGAGGCGGCTTTTTCCGCGGGGCCTTTTTTTGGCAGGGGGTTTTTGGGGGTGTGTATCTTTGCAAGACGGGCGCATGTTTGTTGCCAGCGCGCCGATGAGGGGTTTCTCGTTTCGGCGCGCCTTTTTTTTGGCGGCGCGGGGTTGTGCCTTCCTTGTTCTTCCTTCTCGCCGCCTCATACTGACTGACGTCTCTATTCTGCCTAACCTCGTACTGACATATACGTCTCCTCCTCCAGATACATCGTCCGCCTGCTCGGCTGGGCGCGCAAGTACGGCATTCGGGTTAATCTCGACCTGCATACCGCGCCGGGGTCGCAGAATGGTGCGTGTGGTTTTTCGTTTGCTTGCTTTTGCGAGGGCGCTCGGCGTGTGCGAACTACCTGTGTGGCCATCGTAC